CCTCCATGTGCTGCAGGGGGACAGCCTGCCTCACCATGATCTTCACCGTGGGCTGCAGGGTAATCTCTGCTCCAGTGCCTGGAGCACCTCCTCCCCCTCCTTCTTGGTGTCTGCAGAGTTGTTTCTCTCACATATTCTCACTCCTCTCTCTGGCTGCAATTGCACAGTTTTTTTCCCCTTCTTAAATATGTTATCATAGAGGTGCTACCACCATCGCTGATGGGCTCAGCCTTGGCCAGCGGTGGGTCCATCTTGGACCCAGCTGGCATTGGCTCTATCGGACACAGGGGAAGCTTCTAGCAGCTTCTCACAGAAGCCACCTCTGTAGCCCCCCCACTACCAAAACCTTGCCACGCAAACCCAATACGTGGGTCAAAGTGGCTGAAATGCTGAACTATTATCTGGCCAGCAGATGGGGATAGCTCACTCTGGATAGGCTCTTAGCTTGGTAGGAGACTGCTTCCTCCCAGCTAAGTTTGAAAAGAATTCAAGAGAATTAATTTCTGAGCTTCATGCAGAGCCATGGAGACTACAGACCTTCACCTGCCCCAGGAAAAAAAACTGTGTACAAGCCCCAGAGAAGAGAAAGGGAGAAGCTTTTCAAAAGGTTTGCTTAGGCAGGTGATATTCTGAAGCATTCAGACGAATGCTTAACTGACTTTTCAGGGGAAATTTTTGACCTGTCAGGACAGTTCAGAGACAGCCTGTTGGCTGGAGAAGCAGTTAATATACAATTTATTTTCTACACACCCCAAAATGCTCCTGCCTCACAATAACCTGCATTTCCGGATCCCTGGACCAAGTGCAGCAAAGGCACTGCTACTGTGCACTGGCCCCATGGCTGCAGCAGGGTAAGAAGGGCACCGGGTGGAGGCTTTACTCTGATCTTTGAGATCATAAGCACCGTGGTTCAGTGCCTGCAGTTTTCCCCTCAGCAAGGCTGCTGGCCGCTGGTAGGGAAGGGTGTTGAAAAGCCCAGATCTGGCTGCACACACTCATGTAAATCAACCCTGTAACAAGGGGTCACCCAGTTAGTAGCCCTTCCTAAAACTCTCTGGATGTTCAGGCTGCACACTGCTTTTCTGTGGATCTTAGCAATACAGTGTGCGGGTCTATTGTAAGGACAGGTATTTTTACAAAACTCCCCAAAGGCCAAGCTCATACACCCCAAGCAGAATACTCAGCAGAGAGCTGAGTGGCAATGCAAGCATTTAAATAGGATTTAGAAGCTTTTGTGGATCTGGGTGTTAGGTTCTGGAGGGGACTGGATTTACTGTACATCTCTGTCCTCAGCAAATCTATTGCTAGTCTGAGTGGCACCATGCTCGGTCTGCAACCCGTTTTGAAGTCCCTAATTCTTGTCATGTAGAGAAAGGTGAGACATGTCCCTTACAGCTGTCACTTCTCCAGGGGGTCAGGCGTGTATGATCTGGGCCTGGCTGCAATGATCACTCAGTATTTAAGTCCCATGCTGGCATTACCTACACACAACACAGAAACATACACTATCAGCTGCTAAGTCACATGAACTTACTCACTGTTTCTTGTACTGCTAAAACAATCAAAATAGTTCTTAAGCCTTCAATGTGTCAAGAAAACGGATTAAAACAGCTATAAGCCAGAAAGCCACTATGAGTGAGAGTGAAGGCTGGACACCTGCCTTCTCCTCCCATTTTGTGGTTGTTGCATGAGAAAGCAGTTGCTGCTTCATGTGGCCTCATTACTTTGCAGATAGGCTGAGGGTTTGCAATGGTCCCCATGGAATCGTCTCTTGTCAAACAGCGAATGATTACAAAACCTGCTCGCATGAGGCTGTCAGAGCCTCCTGTGAAATATCAACCACCAAAACACTTCTCCATTTGTTTCCAATGACCTTTACAAAGAGTAAAAAAAAAAAAAAAAAGATGACGGCTCCTGTTGAGCTGACTTTCATAACCAGCAGCAGTGGGAGGGGGATTTCTGCATTCAGAGCCTGCAGCAGCTCCCGTGATAATTACCCAAGCACACACAGGGAGGCAAACTAGAATATGACTCCAGAACCGAAGAAATTACACAGAAGTGTATAAAAGTCTATTCTGAGCCGAGGTCCTTTTCTCTACCCTACTTAGGGTGATACTTAAATAACTAAAAAAAATAAATTAATCGGTAGTCACCTAAAAGCTGAGAATTTACCTTGATGCACCAGTGCCTCAGCACAGAAGTGGTATAGGCTAAGCCCTCAAATCAAAACCCTGCACTTCACAATAAGCTAATTTATGCGTACAGTTACTTTTGCAAGGTATTATGATTTTTTGAAACACGTGGTGTGCTGAAGGATTACGTGACATAAAAGTTTGCCACAGACCGGGATCTATCAGGTTAGGGAATCATAAATGGTACACTATGATCATGAACCAAAGGTCTTTTTGAAGGGAGGCATTCAGGGAGATATTTGCTCCTGCTTCTCTAGTGCTGCCTCATAAACCTCCTACTTCCCACAGCTATACCTCCCACTGCTCCCATCCGTTGATATGACGGTGCACCATTAAAGAGCTGCCCTCTTCCCCTGAAGAGGCAGCTGCTTTTATGCTGTATGAAGTAACTCCAAAACTAGAGTTAAAGTATATTGAATGTGCTAAATTATCTAGACGATATGTGGAGTTAATTTGGTAGAGGGTAAGTGGTATTTCTGTAATCATAACTTTAAGTTTTGGAATTTCCTTTTTTTCAGTTAATCTAGCACAGAGGCACACAGTTGAAAACATAAATAATTGACAAAAAAAACCCCATTGTATAAAGAAAACGATAGCCCCGAACAAAATCCATTAGGGATGTTACAAAATTTCAATAATAGGTTGACCCTTTGGGTTCATAACCATGCGCTAGAATAAATATGAAAGAACACATTGCTGGTTTTATGCAAGGACTTGAGAAATATTTCAGTTGTAAACCAGAGACAGCTGAAGTATAAAAAGGTTAAAAAGAACAGCAGAAGAGCAATGTGAAGATAATATTTTTTCTTGTAATACTCTTTAACACCAAGATTTTGGTTCCTATGACAACAGAAAGACTGAAATGCACTGGTTTCCATCCCAGATGTGGTTGTATTTCATTAGAGGGCAAAACAGATGTACAAAGTAAAAGTCAAGGCTTTTAAAAGTGATTAAAGATCCTGGATGTCTTTGTTTTTCTGGAAGTGAAAACATGCTAATGAAGGTGCATTTCAGAAAGGGCTGGACACTCCTTTGTGGTGTCCCAAATTAGACTACCCAAAATTAAAGGCTGAACATGGTTTAAAAAGCAAATGTCACTATTGCCTGTGGCCCCTCTCAGTCTGGAGTCCTCTGCTGGAGGACAGACAAACACTTATCATAGCCCATCACTCTGCTCCCAGCTGCAAAGCCCCAGATGTCATCTCTAAGGACAAGTAATAATTTTTTAAAGAACGACAGAAGCTAACAATGAGTATGAGGGCAAAACAGATGTACAAAGTAAAAGTCAAGGCTTTTAAAAGTGATTAAAGATCCTGGATGTCTTTGTTTTTCTGGAAGTGAAAACATGCTAATGAAGGTGCATTTCAGAAAGGCTGGACACTCCTTTGTGGTGTCCCAAATTAGACTACCCAAAATTAAAGGCTGAACATGGTTTAAAAAGCAAATGTCACTATTGCCTGTGGCCCCTCTCAGTCTGGAGTCCTCTGCTGGAGGACAGACAAACACTTATCATAGCCCATCACTCTGCTCCCAGCTGCAAAGCCCCAGATGTCATCTCTAAGGACAAGTAATAATTTTTTAAAGAACGACAGAAGCTAACAATGAGTATGAACATACATACACGTTACATGCAGGTAGAGGACAGCGTTGTCAGATCCCAGACTGTTTTCCACCAGCACGGTCACTCGGAATATGCCCACATTCTGGTAGATGTGCTTGATCCCATCTTCTGTTGAGCTGAGATTGGCATACGACACAGCGATGCCGTCTCCAAAATCCACCTGAATGAGGGATCTCTGGAGGTCTCCCTGTGGTGATAGAATAGAGAAAGGGTCAGAATAGACTCTGCTGTTTTTGAGAAAGGCTGGATCGGTGGGGTGACCTAGACCACAACTGGAGGATAGTCACAAAGTCTGATGTTACCAGAGGAAAGGTGGTCACTTCACCAACTTGCTCAGTAGTCAGCAAAGAGAAAGTGACCCCCCCTCTTGAGGTTGACTCAGCTGCACGTTGAAGAAGGTGTCCTCCAAGGTGTGTGCTGTAGCCCTGCTTTCCTAATCACCAGGGGACTAGGGGATCTTCTGGAAAATATACTGGCTCCTTCCCCTGGGTTTCCTTATAGTGAAGAGCAGGGCTGTAGTGTGGAATGGTGCTCATCTCAGCAAGCGCTCAGGACATGGGTAGCTATTGAGATTGCCTCAGGAGTCTTTGGAACGCCCCACATTGTGAGCTTCTGTATTTAAAACCATAAAAAGCAGAAAGATAAAACTGAGAAGTCCTCAGGGAAGGGTCAACTATATTGAAGTCGTGGGGTGTCAAAAGAACCGCTTCAGCCTCACATGATAATGACAGCTTACAGCAGCTTATGACTTGCTCAGTGCCTGATTTAAAATGAGCTGGATTTGTATTTATTTCAGAACAGCTACCAATACTACTGACACTAAGTGGGACCCTTTGTGCCTGCCTCAGAAGGGAAGGGCTAATGAAGAGCTGACTAAACTCTTCTCCTCCTGCCTAGAGATAGTCCCAGCAGAGTGGGTTTGTGGTGTAATTCAGACTGCCACTTTGTGACGTTAGTCTCCTGGGCTGCTAATCTAGCACGTTTCAGAATTATTACAATAAATTACAATAAATAAATAAATGAAAATCACAGTTGGGAAACAAAAAAACAAACAAAAAACCCCACCACAAACCAAAAGCCAAGGATATCAGGGATCTGCTAATGTGAAACAATCTTAAGACAGGTTTTAATCTTCCACTCCTGAAACTGAATTCCAGCTTGGTGTATGCAGCTTCATCAAACTGAGCGTCAGAGTCATCCAGCCCTAAAAGGCTTTTAAAACCCAAAAGAGGGGAGTGATGTAATTTCCTTATTCTGCTTTACAGACGAAAAGCAATTTTTTTTCTTGCAAGCCTGTTTAAAAGACAAAGGAGTCACACTTGTATACAAAAAAATCACTATAATCTATGTCTTACACACTAGAAACACCTGTAAGATTTCTCATATCTTGAGGCAGTGATATGCCTATGGTAAGGGCAGTTTCTGACAGCCGAATAGTTCCACAGCCTACACTGACCTATATAACAACTGTGACTGCTATAGATCCTCTCCCTTTCAGGTAAGATGCAGTACATTGTCTTAACTTTAAGCATTCCTGCTCTTTTTGAAAGTCCCCCTCAGTGGCTCTGCATGATGCTTATGCTGGGTAGGTTCATGCTTGCTGACTGTTGCCATGGAGCAGCTCACTCCACAGCCTGGCGTGCTGAAGCAGCTGTCACTGTCTGGAAGAATGCCGGTAAATTAATAGCTGAGGGCAGTTCATAAAATTGGCTGAAAGGACATTTAATTTACTTTGGTTTGGTTTCCTTTTCCTTTTTTTTTGTTGTTTTTTGTTTTTTTTTTTCTTTTCCCTTGAGAGAGAAACAGTCCTGTGGATGCCCAACTGGAATGAAAGGTACCCATGTAAACAGTTGACATCAGGCAGGATTCCACATCAGAAAGGGAAATGCGTGTGTGTGAGTATGGGAGGGAATTGTAACACAAGCTTTATATTCCTCATGTTCTCTCAGTCTTTTTATAACTTGTTGTGAAGGCATAAACAGTGGAGGCTTGCCTGAATGGAAAGCAGGAGGAGCAGAGCTATACCTGGGGATGGCAAGAGAGACAAATTTTTCCAGATGCTCTGTTTTTATAGGCTGAAGTTGTAGTCCTTACACTGCCCTGGCACCCTGCTGGAAGTTCAGTTTCTTCCAAATGGATGAGACAAAAATAACTGCGTTGCTCTGTTCTAGAGGATCCCAGACTGAAGGTGTGGCAGGGGAAAGACATCCCCTGACAGAGGCACATGTCTGGAGATTCATACAGATACCTCATGCCATCTCCCTCCTGGTGTCTTGAAGGTACAGACAGCAACTCCCTGTTCTCCTCTTGAGAGCACCAGCAAGGGAAAAGGACCCCTGAGGTGCTGAGACATTAGTGAGAAGGCCAACCTGAATATCCCTTTAGAAAGAAACACGGGGATCTTGCATGTTAACCCAGCTGCAGGTTGCCCTTGGATAGTTCTTAACTAAGTTTCTCTTAGCGATTAACTTGGTAACATCTGGAGCTTTCAATGACATATTGTCAAACCTGAGAAAGGTGCTTGAGCAATGCAAACTACTAAGGCCTCCATTCAGCAAAGCTCTTGGCACCTGCTTACGTTCTTCGAGACACAAATCACTGAGGCAAGGGCTCCTACCTGTGTTACACAGAGGATCAAACTAGGGGGATCATGCCAGTCCTCATGAAGGAACATTCCTCATTAGGAACACAGGTGATGGTCTTGAGTACAGAATTATGTCCTTTGTTGAGCTGAGTTACGTGAAAGAAGATGTACCGTTTCAAACATGATGCAGTGGCTTGAGCACTCCTGACTGACCGAGCCAACAGAAGGCATCAAATGGGATATGCCTCCACAGACAGAAGTGAGTGTACATGAGCTCCTCAGCTCTGAACCCTTTTCAGAGGGGGAATATAGTCTCTCAAGCATGGTGCTGGACTCAGATCAAAGACAGAGATCTCTGAAGTACCCTTAGAGGCTCTCCCAGTTCCCCTAGGTCCATCATCACTAGGGTTTTAGTCATCTTTTGTTACTAAAAAAGAGATGATGTCTTCAAACATTTTTCAGTAAAGCCATACTGCTGGGACAAAAGCTGTTCACATGGTTAAAACTGCACCACTATAGTGACCCTGCTGGCTTTATCATCTCTGAGTATATTTGAGGTCATGCAGTTGAAGTACATTTCAGGTTGAGGTATATTCCTCTGCGTATTTGAGGTAGCAGAGTAAGATGAAAAGGGTGACAGCATTTTAGAACAGCCCTGATTCTGCAAGTGTCAGAATTTTTGCTATAATGAGTGTTTTTCCTCTTGTCTTCATTTTCTCCATAGCCATGAAACCCATGGTGTCTACAGGTGCTGCCAGGGAAGGGAGCCATTTCTAAGGCATGCAAGATTTAGATTTCAACTTTTCTTCCAAATTCCCTAGGGAGAAAAGATGCTGACAGAAACATCTGAAAATGTAATTGGAGAAGAGCTTCAGCTGCTGTTCCCCCAGTCTTTTTCATTTGTCTTGGCCTTTCCTGTTTTGTTTTAAAACCCTTTGAACTGGAAATACATTTTCCATTCAGTAAGATCCAGGTTATAACAATCCTCTGAAAATGCCACATTTTGAAAAGCTGACATTTAAAATTCTAGCTTAGGACGGGAGAGAAAAGAGTCAGGAAAACAAAGAGTCTGTGTTTTGACTTGTTCTAATGTTTTATCTGTGCCAGGTAAGAGCACGGGTAGTATAAGACAGGAAGAGAAAGCAGGTGCGCCAAAATCAAAACATTTCCCATACAGCCCACACCTGATCTACATGAACTCCAGCTGTCTGTGTCTCAGGCAGCTCTCCAGAGCCATTTGCAAGTGGCTGCTTTACCAAGAGAAGTTTTGTTTTGCAACAATTTGACGCATATACATACATCTTGCAAAAATCTCTCCTGTTGCTTTTTCCAGCTTCTCCTTGTCATTTTGACAAGTCTAATACTACATGATAGGGGTTTTCTGAAGCTTTTAGCTTGATTAAGGCAGACACAAAACTCCCTGCCTTACTTCTGTAGCCACAGCGAAGCACTTGGATGCAATCAGCACTGAGCTATCTTTGGGCAGCCTTTCTGGCCTTCATTGCAAGAGGTGTTTAATGCCAGTGCTCTTAGGCATCAAGGGAGAAATTTGCCAGGTTGGCTGCTTGTGGTGATATCTCTGCATTCAGCTCCTGTATTTTAAACACACTAAGCTAGTCAGCAACCAATTACAATAACTGAAAAAATGAAAGTACTTTTGATGGATATTTTTTACCTTGTACTAGGTATATGCAATATGCACAAGCTTGGATATAACCTGAAGAAGTACACTGCAATCTTGATAAAGGCTTTAGTCCAGCCAAAGTCTTTAGCGTATGCTGAACTTTAAGCACGAATACTCCTTTTAGCCTGAAAAGAAGCCCTAGGAATTGACAACAAGTTTCCCAAGGCCCCATAGTATGCTCTTCACCTATACAACCTTTGATACTAAAATGTAAATCAGAAATTTACTGTTTTCTAAGGGATTTTCTCATTAAACGTCTAGGGGGTTTCCAAGCATAAATAAAAGATTCCCCTCCCTCCTTCCCCTCCCCGCCCCCAAGCCAAATGCACATTTTTCCTGTATCTTGCCAAAAGAATAAAAGTCTAGAGTGTACACAAGACCTGGATGCTTCCAAAAAACTGTGTGATGGTTCCAGCCTCAGGGTATATCAAGAAACAGCCCATACAGTTTGCAACAATATTTTTTACTTTTTGATTACTTTTATGCAGCTCTCAGTATTTTGGTGCATGTGAGACCTACCTAGCAGGATTCTCTCTCAAACACTCCCTCTGAATCTTGCCCAGAAGGCTGTAATAATGAATTTTTCCTTATTGAGTGCCAGTATTTGTATCTAAATGGAATTATTAAAACAATGAAACACAGTTCAAGGTTTTTAATTTTGGTTCCCATGTTTCAGATTTAATTTTTAAGTCTTCAATTATGCACCGACTTGTGCGTCTTCCTTACAGATGTTGATAATGGATTTAATTATCCTTTGCAAGAGAGATGCTGCTGTTGTTGGACTGTCTTCATGGATTAATGTTTTGTGCTTTCTTTAGATTAACCCTTTTTCCTCTTTGGCATTTTCCTGTCACCATCAGAAAACGTCCATCAAAGATATTTCCATTGCAACTGAACATTTATGCATGGGATACCTTTA